GACTGAGTCAAAAGCCGCTTTCAGATCAAGGAAGATAAAAATAGTGAGTTTACGAAAGGAGTGTTTCACTACCAAATCGCATGAGATTTTCGTGATAATTTCCCTCTGAAATTGTTCTTCAAATTTGTCAGCACGTTAAGTACAGCCACATTGCAAAATCGATTTTGATTGCATCAGGCGACGCAAGCATTTCGCTTTCAAACGTAATTACAGGCAAATAATTGTCCTCAGTTTTTGATTGACGTTCATTTTACCTGTTTATATTGTTCGGTTTATTGCATTTTGTATTTTACTAATCGTTTTTCACCCCACATTGCATCGCTATCAGGTACACCACTTTGGCCTATCGAGCGCCGGAACTTATCGACCTGTACAGTAATGTGCCGTTGGGTCCTCAAATCGATATCTGGGCTATGGGTTGCCTACTCTATTGCCTATGTTTCGCCACATTGCCGTTCGGGGACAGTGCATTGGCCATCCAATCTGGGAATTACTCTCTACCTGATTCATCACCTTATTCGGAACGGTTGCACAAATTGATCGGTAAGCCCACAGTAATCACACACCCTCCCGCTTCCTTGGCTAGAAGTTCGCACTGAATTCGGACTGGTGTCCCAAAACTCCCTAAGGCGTTCTCATTGCGGCTTTTTTAAATATATTTATATAATACACTTGTGAACAGATTACGCGTTAACGAGATATGAGCCCACTCATACTTTTCTGTTCAGTGCATGCTTCGTCATTGCCGTTGATGTAGGCTTCTCGCTTAACTGATAGAATGCTGTACAGGCGTGTAGGCGTCGTCTCCGGGTAGACGTGGAACTCACCAACGCATGTCATAATTGGTTCACTTAAAAACGTCTTTCAAATGTAACCTAGGGATATCCAATTCGTGACTGGCCTTGTCTGCCCCTCAGAAAGAATAGTAATTCCACGTATCATAAAATGGGCCACAGAAATACGGCAAAGCTGAAGAGAAACAAGGAATGTTGACTGCAAAGACTGCGTAGTTCTCAGGCGCCATCCGAAACTGGGTCCGCCCTCCCGGAGCAAAACGAGTGTTAATTTTGAGATAAGTGGAAGCAGTTTGAATCGAAATGGAAAGTTTTTGTCTTTCTTGCTGGTTGTGTGTATTTGTTAATGTCTATTATTTATCACCAATTCTGTCTGACGAGCTTCGAGAATTTCCTAATTTGCGTGCAATCGATATTAAGTTATTTTGCTATGGATACCTCCTTGAATGGATAAGCCTGTTTCATTAAGATCAAGACATTTGACGCACTTTGTTATAAGAAACTTCCTCAACATCACTGGGCTTCTCTCTCGAGGACAAATTTTTTCCTGCAACCAAATGCAGATTGTCAGATAGCACTATTTTGATGCACGGCTGCCAGTGACTTTATTGGATCTGAATCGTAATCCGATAGATGTGAACGCAACCCTGGGCTCTCTGTCTCTGCTAGTTTGTCAGGTTTTTTTTACAACTGTTGGATCATGCAACACCTGATTCGGCTACCATATTGCAGCTGTATTCGCAAGTCGTTCGCCGTTTGACCGATTTCTCTAGACCTCAGTTATAATCAATCTGTTTTGGCCTGTCTCTCGATTGGTTTTCCGGAGTACGGCTGTTAATACACCCTTTGAGCTCGGTAATTGGGGGGGGAAGGGGCGGGAGGTTCGCACTCTGCCAGCTCTGCCGAACTGTTTGTATCACGTGACCTATTGTTGGATAAAATCAAAGTCAAAGTTTTAGTGTGGGTATTACTTACAAGCAGATGCTTTTCTTGTCCCATAGGAAGGTAACACGAATTGAAATGTAACAGTGATGAACAAAATCCCATATGCTGCATTTGGTTGTGTTTTCTGTTCTCATGGATGTTGGAATGCAATGTTTGTTAATGATTCGTCAAGTTTTACCTTGAAAGAATCAATCGTCTCGGCACATACAAAATGAGATGGTAGGAAATTCCAGGCAATGCACGGCAAAGGAATGACGTCGGCAGTCCAGTCGAGATTTTTGGATTACCAATTTGAATGGATGTCCCCGTAGATTAACGTTTGACGACAACGTCAGAAGTCGGCGACAAGGGTGGTTTGGGCTGTGTAATATTTGGTACATCAAAATCAAGTCTCCTCGAATCTGACGATACTGAGCTGAGTATAGACCCAACGACTGTATTCTTCCCATGTATGACTCATGATAGAGTCCTTTGACCATCTTCGTGGCGAGCCTTTGTGGACGTTACAAAATCTTATGACCACGTCGTAACCATGGGTTCCAAGTTTGGATGGCATATTCAATATGTGGCCAGACAACAGACGTGAAAATAACGATGGTTCAAAACGACCGAAAGCACTTTTAAGTAGACCGATATGTTTGAGTGCGGTTGATGACGCTCGCACAAGTGTATCGTTTGCTGACTCCGTGGATGAGGGAGAACGATAGACCACTCTAACAAGACAATCGTCGTGCTTCGCAGTTTCAGTTTACACCAACTTGCGTCGGGGGCTGAAACAGGAGGATCAACTGCATCGCACTGGAGATCACTTCGATGGTAAAGTAGAGCACCAACCCCGCGTTTTGGACGATCGCGTCTGAGAAGAGGCATGCCCGGTAGGCCCAACTCAGAGGAGAGAATGTCATCCGTCAACCAAGTTTCTGTGACAGCAATGATATCCCACTAACTGGATAGGAAATGTAACACCAGTTCGAAGAACTTACTGCGGAGACCTTGGGCATTTCTGTAGCAACAGGTCAAATGTGTTTGGTGTAGAAGTCCCTTTGGGTGAGAAGTAGATTCATTGACGACCCTGTCACGGTCGGCTAACATTGGTTTTTTGGATAGGGAGCTCTGGTACTCTGATCCCCCAGTTGTGGAGGGGAGCGTGAAACCGGAATCGATTGTGAATTAGCACCGTTATCACACAGTGGAAATTCCGATACTGCAGTCTTCATCAAGGGTCTCAGGTGCAGTTCCGGTGGTCCTTTTTTCTTGTTNTTATCTTCGGGCCATTACCACGGTAATTTGGTGAAAAAGTAGAGCGAAAATGAACTTCCTTCAAATAATGTTTACATTCCGATTATCAGGAAGCGCAGTGTCATTCAACTGCACGATAAACCTTTTGGAAATTGAAAAACATCACTTTGAATTTCAGACGCGAGATGTTGTTGCATTTCTTTTCTCTTGTTCAT